GAGAGAGGACTAAGGACAATATATATATATATATAAAATTACAAGATAAAAATAAGCAAAGAAGCAAAGATGGAAAGATTCACCTGTTCATCACTTGTTACCTAGTTTCCTCCCCGCTGTTCATCACTTGTTACCTAGTTTCCTCCCCCGGGCGCCCGGAATGGCGCTCGGGGCGCTCGACCGTGCAACGCCCCCGGCCAGGCACCCGGACCCCCTCAGCGCCGTATCGAAAATGACATCAATTTTTTTTTTTTGCATCGCCGTCCGTTGGCCTGCAGGGAAAAAAAAAATTCGCGCCGAAACTTTAATTTTTCGAGTCCCGGTAGGCCCCTTTTTGGAGTTTTTTTTTTTTTAATCATTTTTGGCCGTCGACCACCGGCGATTGACGACGAGCGTAGCTTCTAGGATTCCCCGGTGCCCACTCCGCCCTCCGCCCTCCGCCCTCTACCCTCCGCCGTCCCGCCCTTCGCCGAGCTCATCGTCGTCCCGCGTCGTCGCCGTCCTCCTGCTGTTGCGCTGTCGTCGTCCTGCTGCCGCGCCGTCATCGTCCTCCTGCTGCCTTCCCGCCCACTCCCTCGAGTGTTGCCACGCACCATCTCCACGAAGGTAAGCTTCTTCTTCTTCTTCTTCTTCTTCTTCTAATTCTTCTTTTTCTTCTTTTTCGTCTTCCTTTCTTCCTCTTCTTCTTCATTTCTTCTTCTTCCTCTTCTTCTTTTTTGTTTCTTCTTCTTCTTCTTTTTCTTCTTCTTCTTCTACTTCTTCTTCTTCTTCTTCTTCTTCTTCTTCTTTTCTGCTTCTTTTTTATTTCTTTTTATTTTTTGCTTCTTCTTTTTCTTCATCTTCTTTTTTTTCTTCTTTTTTTCTGCTTCTTTTTCGTTTCTTTTTATTTTTCTCTTCTTCTTCTTCTTCCTCTTCTTCTTCTTCTTCTTTGTTTCTTCTCCGTGTTTTTCTTCTTCGTTTCTTCTTATTTTTTATTTTTTTTTCTTCTTCGCTTTTTCTTCTTCCTTTTCTTCTTTCTTTTCTTCTTCTTCTTTATTTCTTCTCCTTCGTGTTTTCGTTTTCATTTCTTCTTCGTTTCTTCTCCTTTGTTGTTCTTTAAGATTCTTCTTCTTATTATTCTTCAACTTCTTTTTTTTCTTTTTTTTTTTCTTGTTTTTTTTCTTTTTTTTTTTCTTTTTCTTCTTCTTATTATTATTATTATTATTATTATTATTATTATTATTATTATTATTATTATTCAACTTCTTTTTCTTCTTTTTCTTCTTTTTCTTCTTTTTCTTCTTCTTTTTCTTCTTTTTATTCTTCTTTTTCAATTTCTTTTTCAATTTCTTCACGGGTCGCCATTGCCTCCTCCTCCCCTTTCTGTGACACCCACCCTCCCTCTTCCGCCGTACCCCTCCCCCAGCTCCACGTCATCGGCCGCCATAGCCCCCCTCTTCTCTCATAGCGGCCCTCCCTTTCCCCTCTCCATCGCCTCCCTCCTCCTCCCCTCTTCGTGTCGCCCTCCCTCCTCCCTCCTCCCTCCTTCCTCCTCCCTCCTCCCCTCCTCCCTCCTCCCTTTCCCTTCCTCCTCCCTCCTTACCCTTCGCCCCTCCTCCCTCCTTTCTCCTAGCGCACGCCCTCCCTACTCCCTCCT